CACCAAAGCCAAGTTGCAGTGAACCAGTGAGTATAAAAAACTGTTATGAACATATCCATTCCTTCTTAAGTCATCTTTCTGATGTGTGTTATCTTTTTATCCTACGTCAAGAGCGGGTTCAAGAAGAATGTTGATGTAACAGGTGCAAAAAGACAGAGTGAAAGACCGAGGACCCTGAAAACAAAGGATGTATCTGGCCCTAGTAAAAAACTTGAAGATCCTTTGGGGATAAATGAAGAGGAAACCACAAAAGAGTTTATAGGTGGAGTTAGGATATCAAAAAGTTGGGCAAAATTTTGCAAGGGGCTAACCTAGTGAAGATGCAGGTGATGATAAATATTTATGTTTTGTTTATGTTTTTGTTTTGAAAAGGATATTACTATTTTGATAAGTCATATGTATTGCATTGTAATGGATGGATCAATTACTATTTTGATATGAATCAACAACTATTTTGATATGCGATGAACGTAATGTACTAAATATGTAATGAGATGTCTGCAATTACTTTTTGGTGAAATCTGTTTGCATTTCTAAGTCAAAATTTATAGGTTACATTATGTCAAAACTTATAGTTCATACCAAGTCAAATTTATAGGTCACATTATGTCATCTTAAGTCAAATTTAAAATGTCACATTATGTCCAAATTATAGGTCATACCAAGTCAAATTTATAGGTCACATTATGTCAAAATTGTAGGTCACATTATGTCAAAGTTATAGGTCAATCCAAATTATAGTACAATGCATAATTGAACCAATTTATAGGTCATTCCAAATTACCAAGTGAAACTTACAAAATCATTTACACCAAATTATAGGTCATACCAAGTGAACACAAAATCCATTAGACCAAATTATATTTCATACCAAGTGACCCTTACAAAATCAATTAAACAATATTACAAACTTAGAAGAACAACACTAGATATCATTTCAACATTTACACCTCATTAACCAGTACATGTTGACCAAAAATGAAAAATATAAGAGAAATTAACTTCAGCTTTCCCTAAAACGCCTCAGGCTTAATCTTGATTTGCAACCTCTTATTCTTTTTCATTGAAGATTCATACAACTCCATTAAAGTTTCAACAACTTGCATCTCCCTCACCTTGCTCTCATCTTTGCTCCATTCTTCATCTACTCTTTCATAATCATCGTTTTTCTTGTGCAATATCATCATCCTAAATGAATAAATTGCAAGTTTCGTCATTTTGTCAAAACGAACATCTCCAAAAAATTCTCCCTTTATTACATCTATTTTTACAATGGTATAATATCACATGAGCATTACACCCACACCTTCTCACTGGACGGTTGGTCACACTTGGAGAATGATACGATACTGATTTGATTTACCTTGATGAAGATGATATACTATCAGTAACCGAATTGTGGTCGAGGAAAACAAATAAGACAAATTACAAGAAAGAAGAAGATGAAGAATACAAAATGATTGTGAAAGAGACGAAGGGGAGAAGACAAAGGAACGAGATGAAAACCAATTAGAAAAAACAATTAGGATTTCAAGCCTTATGTGTTTGCCTTTAATATAAAAAAAATATTATTTAAGACTTATCTTACGTGTCAAATAAAAAATACACATTTGGCATGCCACGTAAGCATCTGTTAGTAGAAACTAACGAGAGAGATCAATTTTAGGGACAAAAAAGTTTGCGAGGACCATTGTTTGAAATTTTTTTTTAAGTGACTAAAATTAAATATTGGTATATTTATGAGGACCTTTGGTATATTTAACTCATAATTTTATATAAGGATTAGTTATTTTTAATTTAAATAAAATTATGTAGAATCTTTTAATTTTTTGTAATTTCTTTTATCTATATTAATTTTGTTTGTAAATTTTAATATTAGCTTATTGAACCTAAACTCTTTAGTTTTTATGTTTTTAATGATTTAGATACAATTTTTTTTTTGAATATTTTGTTGTTTTTAGGACTGGTAAATGGATCGTGATCTGCTTGGCCGATCCGCACATCTGCTATAAAATGATGGTTTGGGTTGCGATTTTGTGTTCGTCTATCCGCTTAACCCATTTTGCCTTAAGCCCGCCAAAAAAAGAGACGGGTTGGCTCGCCAACCTAATTATCAAGCAATCAAAAGATTTATTTTGGTTGGTTGAAGGTTAATACTTGAACTATAATTTTAAAATATTTGTTGATGATTTTATTTTATACATTTATTTGTAAATATATGCAATATTTTTTACGTGAAATTTGTTAAAAAAATATTTTATAAAAAAAATATTCTAAAAAATAAATGAAAAATCTAATTGAAATGTAAAATAAACTTATTAATGTATATAAAAAAATAGGCGGACAAGTCCATTGTCCGCTAATCCACCAACTTGGCAGGGCGGACCAAATTTTTAAGTTCAATTTGACTTGGTAGACTTGTCTATTTTGTCTCTTTTTTGTCGAACTTATGACGGAACCTCTAATTATTTTTAAAGGTTAAATGTGAAAATAATTTTTTTATTTTATCATTTTAGTTTCTAAATATTTTTAATTATTATGCTTTTTTGTCATATTGAATGTATAACCTCTCTATTACCCTTAGCTTAAACAGTTGAATTGTTCTTTATCTAAAAATAATAATATTAAATTAAAATTAAAATTAATAGCAAATTGACAAAATAGTAAAGAGACAAGATATATTGATTTTAACCTATCATATTTACTTAAAAAGTTATACCAAAACTTATGTTATTTGAACAAGAAAATAAAGACATTATCTCTTAATAATTTACCCATGATATGACCATGAGAAGATGGTCAATGAACCAATAAACCTTGATGGTTCAATTTGTGAGGGACTTTTGGGTGTCGATTTGCTAGATGAGAACTCAAGAGGCCAAGGTTCTTACTTTCGCGCCTAAAATTATGGTAAGCCGATTTTATATTAGATGAAGATTCTACAGAAGAAATGAAAATAATAAAAACCAGGTGTGGTCTTATGCTTTTAATTGGTTTATTTTTATTTCCTGAAGGCACTGGTTCTTCTATGCACATTATGTATTTATCCTTATTGAGAGGCCTAACTAAAACAAGAGAGTATAGTTGGGGTTCCGCTTGTCTGTCTTATTTGTATATCTCTTTGTGTAAGTGCACAAAAAAAAACAAATATACTTTTTCTGGATGCGCCGTTTTGCTCCAAGCATGAGGTTGGTCTAGATTGCCATCCCTAGCGCTCGTCAATCACAATAACTTTTCCTTTCCGTATGCACAAAAGTAAGTTACTAACTTAATCTTAGTTTATTTCACCTTACTAATTACTGTGTCTAACTAATTGAATTTGAACTTTTTGTGGTTTAGATGGTCGGCTAAGGGTATGACTTACAATAGATGCCCTAGACTTTGTATCATTCAATACCACAATATATTGGATCACCTAACACCTGCAGATGTAAGGCCTCTAAACAACCCAATTTATATTTTATATCAACTATTTTATGATCTAATATTTTTCTGTTCTTCAGTTAATTTGGCGTCCATACCTAAACATGAAACACCTATATGAAGTCAGAGAGGAAGATGTTGTCGTTTGGACTGCATGCATGCCGATCATCAGATTCAGAACTCTGGAGATGCACAACAGTTACCGTGTCAAACCACAATTTGGAATGCATCAAAACATCCAAGATCCTCATGTTGACATCAGTAAATGACATCTAAAAAGAGTTAATGATCAATGGGACTTTCTCGTCTGGAAGGATTTTGCAAAATCTAAGCGTCGTAAATGGATGAACCGCAACGCCCATATCTTACGTGACCCGGTGATGGCAACCCCGTCTATACCAACTATTAATTATATGGCTTGGTACAGATCGATTGCAACTGGATTTGTCTCTAAAGACAGGTATTTGTATGAACCCACACCAAACCACCTACACACAAGAAGCTTCAACGTCTAATCCACCAGGAATGCCATGTTACTCACAACCCCCTACCCAACAAAATTACCAATCCATTAACCATCCAAACATGCCAAACACCCAACCACAATACCAAGAGCGTCCCTCATACCATCTCCAACAAAATGATTACTATCAAGAAACCTAATATGACTATGCCCCCAACACAATATCAAGGTATAGCCAAAATGAGGGTACATCATAACATAACCATAATGCCCAAACATCTTTCCATAGGCAAAATGCTCTGACATCATACCCTAACCTACACACTCAACCATCTCAACAACCTTATGCCTTTCCAACACCACTACTATTTCAACCTTTCACCAACGAATCCTTCACACCAATGTCCCCCTTCAACCGTCTAGGCCGCACACCTATGACCCCTTCATCACATCCGAACAACTCTGACATGGGTTGCACAATCAGTTTCAACACACAAGACCTCATGGAAATGTAAGAAATTCTTAGGGAACCATCTAAGAATGTTCCTGAGACTTCAACTCCTCAAACACCTGGCGTGAATCAACAACGAGGGGAACGAGTTCAACGAGTAAGGGTGCTTAGGGGATGTGGAACCGGTGACCGGTATGACCCATCCGGTCGCCAACATTAATTTATGTAATAGTTTATTTAACTAATGATAATGTTATTGATTTTTGGTAAATTTTTTACAAAATGCACCTATCTCTAGATGAATTAGCAACATGACTTTAAGTATAATACTAAGTTGTTAATTGAATTGGAGATTGCATGAGGTGTCTCCAATCGAATTGACGACTCCCCTAAAACTTTAACAAAGGATCGTCAATTGGTATATCGCTCACATGCATTCAGAAACCCTAACTAAAATACTTTGAAAATTTTATGTGTTGAAAACTGAATTATTTTAAAAAATTATTTTAAAAAATGAGATATTTGGATAAAAAATTATCAATATACTTAGAGTAAAAAAAAAGTGTGTTATATCTTCTCTAATTTTATTTCATTTGAAAACAACAATAAAGTACCTGCGAGAGCAAGCATGGCCTTACGAGTGTAAATGAAGTGGAAATCCCAATGAGACACTCCTCAGTTTTTGGATTAGCGCTTTTCTTCTCATTTTCCGTTACATCTTCATCTTTTCCACAACCACCATTCTCTTCAAACCCTAACACAAAAACCACTCCCTCTGAGCTATTATCCCTTCTCGGTCCCACACCTCACTCCAAACCCGTCAATCCCGTCATAGCACGCAAACTCATTTCATGCCTCAAATTTCTCGTCCCGTTTTCCCCAACCGTTACCGATTCTCTCCGTCATCGGAAATTACTCCGGACCGAACTCATTGGACCAAATCGGAGACGCGAGAATGATATGATTTGGTGGCCGCCGGAATCCGTTTTGGAACTTGCTCGCATCGCCGTCGATTCCGGTGGGGATCCTGACGCCGTTCACCGCCTTCTTGATCCGACCGTCATCCCAGTTAGTTACAAACCTAATAACCGTTTTCAATTATACTTGCACTTATTTATTATGCTAGAGTAAGTCACTAGTTTAGTTCTTGAAATTGTAATTGATTCATGTAGCAGAGATGAGACTTGGTTGTTGGTTGTTGTTGTTGTACAACTCATTTGTTATTTCGTAAATTCGAGGAACTAAATTGTTGGATACTTACAAATTGCAATGTGGCAGGTACCTAGTGTTGAGGGATCAAACAAAAACCGATGTCAGCTCACTAGAACTCCATATGGCAGGCGCTTCATTTCCGAGGTTTGTTCTTAATTCTCAACAGTAGTTTCCGAGGGTGAATGAGAGGGTGCTGATAGTGATGCTGCATTTGTCTATATATGATTGCAGGAACTGAACATGTATATGCAATTTTTGTTTGAACTCATTGTTGATCGGGGTCCTTCTGTTGGGTTTGATGTTGCCTTGAGCAGATTTGATCTATTCCACGGTCATCTTTTTCTAACCAGAGACTCTGGAAGACTTGGTATCTTGTATGTTGATAAGTATTAGTTAGTGATGCAGATACTTTTCTCTGTTAATCAGGTACAGCTCAGTTTATTGAAATGTTTATCTTAGTTGAGTTAAGAATGCAATTCATTAATATTTGGCAGATTCCATGCAAGAGAATTCCCGGCATATAATAAACAAGTGTTTCCATACAATATGGGCTATTGCCAGATAGGTACATTGCTATCTTCACATCTTCATATGCTATCTTCACATCTTCATATGCTATCTTCACATCACACCTTATCACCCCTTCCTATCATTTATATACATCATTGTCTACTTTTAACTACGTCATTCTTAACTAATCTTAACCAATATCATAAGCATGCAAGAACTGGAAAACTCTGCCTTCTAAGCTAGTTATCATATAGTCCACCTCTAACTACATAAGTCCCTATCACAAACTCTGGGGCCTAAGGCCCCGATTCTCTTAGAAATACTACCTATGTTACCTCTAACTATCTCAGTCACAACTTGTCCTAGCTAACAACAAAGTCTATCCCTCAACTAACATATCTATCAAAGAGAGAGGACAGAACTTTTTGTTGCCAATGTTAAGAGGTTCTTGCAAATGCCATAAACGTAAGTTTTTGGTTGTATTTTCTGTAAATTCTCAACTTTTTAAAGTGGTGATTGGTCTTTTGAATTCTTCCAGGTTCCAATGTGACATATGATGATTCAATGAACTTGCGAAATATTCTCTGGTTGGCTCCTTTGCCTGACCGTTCCACTAAATCTTGGGTGGCACCAGGTACCCTCCATAAAGTTATCATAACGCATTGGGTTTGTTTGCTTTTTGTAATGGTGCACAGGCATACTCTAAGTTTCTTGTTAAATTTTATGATCAGTAATTGATCAACCTATCCATCATGCAAGGATTTTTATTATTGTTGTGATTTGTGCCCTTTTGAAAATTTATATTGATACCTTAGAATCTCAGATATATGAGCCTCAAGTATGGAGGTAGCAATGTTATCTGATGCTGATTTTTCCTATTTCTGGTTTTAGATTTGATGTTGTGGCATTTTTTTAAAAAATAAAACTGGGGAAGAAATAAATTAATTAGTTAAAAGGACACTAATGACCATTTTACAACTGTCTCCACTGAACTCCCTTTGTTAAACTCATTGAGTAGTTAGCTTATGGAGCCTAGTTTTTCAATCTTCAGTGTAAAATAGGAATCTGATTCTCTGTAGAGTTATATTCCCTTATTGCATTGTCTTTAATATACTGCTGTGGTAATTATGGTCACTTGCAAAGTGTCCTCTTAACTTAAGTCTAACCACATTACACAAACTAGTTTTATGATCCCTTAGTCTTGCATGGATAATTGGCCAAGCTATGATCAATGCCATCACTTCTCGACAGAAAAGAGCATTAATGTTGGAGAAATCATTGAAGAGAATATCCAGTTCATTCTCTAATTCATTGCCTCGCATCTCTCTGACTCTCCAGACTTTGTTCACTTTTCTCTTCTTTTTTCCTTTTGCCCCTTTGATTTTTCATAGGCTTGTGTTAAACTATTAATTAAGGTTTTCTGCAGGGATCCTTCTCTCACAATGCTTGAGCACTTCCTCCTTAACCACCTATGGTATTTTGTTTGTCAATTGCCTTTTCTAGTTCAAATGGCCCCTATTTGGATTTTAGGTCAGCAACTTTTGACTTTTGCTACCCTTCTTTGAGACCCACAAAATAACTGTTGGGGTTGTGTTAGACTTAACCCAAATTACAAGAAGAATGAGGAGGTCTGTTCAGTGCCTAATAGCATCAAGGAGCTTCTAGTAGACTATAGGGAGTTGGTTAAGGAGACCGATCTATTCTCACCAAAAAGGGAATGTGACCATCAGACCGTGCCATAGTCTTATAAGAGGGAGCTTAGGTTCCCAAAATTCAACCTTATAGGTATCCTTCTTATTGTCACAACTCACCAGGCAGAAATTGATTTTTGTGCATGATATGTCAGCAGGGGAGATGAGAAGACCAAATCTAGCCCTTATTCCAGCCCATTTAGGTTGTGTTTGGCCTGATTTAATTTTGTCTCCTCTTCTCCTTTAAAGTAGAAGTTAGGCCAAACATAAATTTCTTTATAAGCTCTAATTTGAAAAAACAGCTTTTTATTTTAACTAAAAATTACATATAAAAGTTCTTCTATATAAGATGTTCAAACTTACTTTAGAAAAACTTCTCAGTTCTCAAAAGATTTTTTTTCATAATGTGTTTAAAATTAAAAATTCCAGATTATGTAAAAATTGCAAGGACTGTTTAATTGTTCTTTATTTATGATGCTTGGATATTTGTTGTATACTTAAAAAATAAATTGCACGCAGGGGTTCTGGTAGTGCTGGATGCTAATCCTAATGGAATCATATACAGAGATCTTATACCAGATTATGTAAAAGTTGCAAGGACTATATATGAAGGTTTGATCTGTTTTCCAATAACTGAAACCTGTGGATTTTAGATTCAAATATTTTGTTTCCAAAAGGATGACATCATTGTGTGTGCCATTGATATTTTCTTCCTTGTAGATGATTTCGGAGAGGTTGCTGTTGATGTGAACATCTTGAATGTGGGTTCTCAGAGTCAAAATTATCAATTATTCATATGCTGATGCTATGCTCAATACCGTCATTACCAGCTTATATAGATGAAGAATGGCCAAAGGTTACACAGATAATGGAAATCTGGATTGCAGTGAAGATTGATTAGGCCGATTTCCTCGGATTTTAGAGGTCAAATTGATGGATGTGTTCAATTATTGTGTTTTTCACCAGGGAACATAGGAAACAACAAAACTGGATCAAGGAATTCTTTGAATTTTTAAATTGGAGGCTTCTTTTTCCACCACCCAATGTTTATAAAACAAAAAAATGCACAACCCCTTCTTCGGAAGTATACCAGACTGAGATTTGTCAAAAACCTCATTTATATGCTATTTGTATTAGAACAGCAAATCCAAAAGTATATTTGTGGATTATTTATCTTTTTTATAAAACTACTATTTTAGATATCTATGATATTTTTCAATTCACCTTCTAGAAAATCATTCTCCATATGATCTTCATTCTCATCAATTTCATCTTCAATACTATCATTAGCAAGAGTCTTCAAATCATCAATTTTAGTATATCTAACTATTGTATCATTCTTTAAAACCCTACGAATCAATTACTAATAACTAAACGACAACAATTTAATTCTTTATATAGCATTATGATGGTCAAGAGGAGAGACAAAACAACCAACAGAATCACCAAAATAGTTCTCGAATACTCATGCACAATTGGAGTGGGAGGATGCCATAAGACCTCGACGGTATTTGGCGCACTAGGAAGGTGAGTAGAGACTTTAAAATTCTTGATAACCTGAAAATCAGTTATGGAAGAGCTCGTAGCAAGCTCGGTGAGATTTTCTGATCTAAAGGCAAAAGCGATACTTCGTGATGTCACTGACTTGAAAGTAATAGCTTGTCAATAATCAATTTGACTTCATAATAAATTTTAAAAGTATGATTATACAATTGTTTATCGCATATTTTGTCAATAATTTTCCACAAAGGAGCGTAGACAAGTGAAAAATGGAATATATTTATCTCTTAGGAACATGTTGATGTTAATTTGTATCATTTCTTTAACACGATTACTTTTATTATAAAAGTATTTTATGACTGAATTTTCATTAGAGTCTATCAAATGTAACACTCTAATTAAAGAAAAATCACCCTTAGACAATTGATGATATTATTCCCAAAACCCTTATGTGTAATTTGATTTTCAACCAACACTCATCATTAGACTTTGAAAAAACACAGATTTTTCATTGTTGAGATGTGAACATTTTTACTAATGTTCCGCTATTGTCATTCACGCATCTTAAGGTCAAATAGATAGTGGAAAAATGAGTGGCATCAGGCTTAATCAAGTATATACCTTTAGTGAAATGATGTAATACACCCTAAACCTTAAATAGAAATAGTAATTCAATTAAAGAATCAAGTGAAAGATGTAATACTCTAATTAAAGAAAAATCACTCCAGACAATTTATGATATTGTTGTAAGCGGAAAAATGACAGAGGAGACATATATATATATATATATATATATATATATATATATATATATATATATATATATATATATATATATATATATATATATATATATATATATATATATATATATATATATATATATATATATATATATATATCTTAGTCTTTATTTATTATGGATTTAGAGTTAAAGTCCACACTTTTATCCACACCAATCAGATTTAAGATATTCAGTTTTTAGTTAAAAGAGATCACTTAATTAATAATAAAATATATATATGCATCCTTATCAAAATCATGATTAATTATTTTTTCATCTCACATATGACATTAAATATCCATTTCTTATTTGTCAACATATAATCACGTAACTTAAAGGTGCACTCACATTTTCTTGAACCGGTGTCATCTTGTTTAAAATTTTCGGATAAGAGGTATATATTTCTCACTTCTTTCGCATGTTATTGTCACAAATGCACATCTTCTATCCGAACCATTATCAGACATTTTGATTACCACACCAAATCTCAGTTTGGAAGCCTCTGTACAAATTCATTGAAGCACGTGATCACAAAATTCAAACTCTTGCTCATTTTTAAATTGGTTGCCAACATCTATCGCCTTCACACAACATCTTTGACATCTTGAGACACAACATGTTTGGGGAAACCATCGAGGTGCACTATATCTAATGAAAACAATCGCAAAAAAATACTCAATAAGTGCAAATACTGTAAACAAAGCTGGAAAAATGAAAACAGACAGATACCGAAGATGCATTTCGAGATGAGTTCATACAAACTTCAGAAATTTATCTTTGGAATAAACACACGTTTTTCAGATTGAAATAAGATTAATGTGAGCAATGAAACTTGAAATAATTGATCTTTATCTGAAATTTCAACTTCTTTTGCTCCATTTGATGTGATGAAACATTTGGAGTGAAAATGTGGATTAGGAATGTAAGGGCTTTTGGTAAGGATTTGGAGTAAAAAACAAGTATGATTGTGTGATCATGCATTTGAATGTTTTATTAAATTATTTTGAAGATGCATCTCTTAAAATATCATACATGAAAAGGTCATAGAAATTTCAAAATTCCGCTCAAATCTCCGAAGACACGTCTCCATAATATCTATTGGACTGCTAAAATATTAATATATTTATTGAAAATGCCTGAAGATGCATCGTCACAATAAATTTTTATTCTAATATGGGGTGACACTCATTCGATGCGCCATAAGATGTTGTTAGGGTGAGTCCGAAGATGTATCTCTGAAATTTGAGGGACAATTTCAATTTTCCATAAGATGTTTTTCTACCCCATAAAATGGGATAAAAAATCTGTAAATAAATCCGCAGGAAAATCCAAGACAAATTAAAAACTCGTCATAAGATAAATTAACTTATAAAAATAAAATAACAAAAATTCATTTAATTAGTATTTATTTATTTTATTTAAAATGATAAAAATAAAATTGAAAAAAAAATTATAAAAAAAGAAACTACAATAAAAGATTTACGGTTATATTTAACATATAAAAAATTAATTGTTATACACTTTAATATAAAAAGTTTTAAGTAATGTATCACAATTATTCGTTTATTCTATGACTAATTAAAATTAAAATGATATAATATTAAATATTAAACGTTTATGATTAATTAAATAAAATATTTTGAATAAGGTTATAATATAAAAAGAAAATAAAACATAAAAAAAGAGGAGGATTATACCAAAACTCTTTTTAGAAGAAATAAATATAAAAAAAAGGTAAACCAAGACTGTTTTTTACAAAATTTGTCCCTATACACATAGGTATAGAGGTAAAATGAATAATATCGGTCAAAATTACTCATAGATTAGCAAAGACGTTTGCACAACTATTCACTTCTCTAAAAATGTGAGAAACTACAAAATTTCAATGCGATACTAAATTGATACAATTAATCCATCTATTTCTAATCAACTAAGACACACTATATGGAGGATTGAATGCTTTAACCACAGACGTCGAGTCCGTTTTCAACCAAACATTGTGTCAATTCTTCTCATGAGCGAATTCAATTATCAGCATTACACCTAAGAGTTCAACAATGAAAGAATTCAAGACACCTGCCCCCCACAAACCGTGATTCCCGAAAGAGAGGTGGAAGCTCCATCACAATTCAACTTTATTCAATCCTGTGGAGGGACTGCTATAAGATCCCAAAAATATTTGGAGCTCTCAAAGGCCGTATTATAACCTTAAATCTCTTAAAGATTACAAAATCATACATATTAAGATGGGAACCAACAAAAACTGCATTACAAGCCGTATAGATAACAACCATAATAAAAGAAATAGAAGAAGAAATAGGAGTTAAAGTATCATTAAATCTAACCATGTTCCGAGTCTTCCAAATCGAGTTGAAAATGAAAATGATTGCCACTTTAGAAATCATCTTGTAATGATCAACATCTATTTTGCCAAAATACTCCAAATATCCGACCAACCAAGAATAGTAAAAGTGATATTGAGCATATTCTTCAACCAACTTCAAAGCTTCAGAGCATAACAACAATCAAAGAACAAATGAGTTTTTGTATCCTCCGCCAAACCACAAAGATCACATCTAAAAGGGAACCAAAAACTTCTTCTTTATTGGTCATCCGTAAACAACTTATTATGAAAAAACCTCCACACCATATAAGACTTAGACGGATGAATCAACTTGATCCAAATTCAACTCCACCACTCCTTCTAAATGCCTCTATAACATCTAAAGTCATAAACAATCTTAAGGAATAAATCACCATTAATGGAAAGGTTCCAACATCACGCACCTGAATAGAGATTTGACAATGCATATCTATTTTCATATATATATATATATATATATATATATATATATATATATATATATATATATATATATATATATATATATATATATATATATATATATATATATATATATATATATATATATATATATATATATATATATATATATATATATATATATATATATATATATATTATAAACTCAAAATAATGATATTGCCAAACTAAGTACTATAATTAATTAAAAAGCTAATTCTGCTCCAAGACAAACGGTGAAAATGGCCTAAACCCCATAACTAATAAAAAAAGCGTCATAGATTTTGCTGCGTACCCTGCACTTGCGCCTCGCTACTTGTTGAACGTTTGCCACCAATTCGTTATTCTCTCCCCTCCGATGCACCGTCTTGATCTCGGTGATGTTTGGAAGAACAAAGCCCGATCCCTGCAGTTACAGCTCAGGGACCGCTTCAGAGTCGCCGTCGACCGACATTGGCGCCGCCGCCATCACCATACGGTCTTCCTTCACGCCGACGGTTATTTCTCCTCCACTATTCAGCGTTGGCTTAACCGATTTCGCGATTTTCGTAGAGATGCCTTGCCTTCTTCCACCTCTTTCTATCGTAAACGAGGTACTCAATTTAATCACCTGTTTTCTTGAAATTCAAATTTCATGGACGTAATAGGCATTGGTTAGGTTTTGCATTCGATTTAATCTTTATGCATATGTATTTACAGTGAGTAGGGATTTTAGTTCCGAAGAAGATTCAATCATTCTTCGTATGATGCAAGCTGTTGCTGTTCCGATTCTTGGAAATGTTTGTCACGTTTTTATGAACGGATTAAACCGTGTTCAGGTATGAATATGATTATTATTCAACTATATGCTTCTCTCATATTTGACACCGGGATAAGCAAGTTCTTAAAATTATTAGACACTGCTCGAAAATTTAGAATATGTAAACATAATTTGTAAATCTAAACGAGAACAATGCTTTCAATGTTAGCACAAGTCTTCGTAGCTCTGTAGCCGACACCTCTGAAAAATAGACACTAACACTGATATTTGTGATTACATACAATTTATTCATTTTTTCAAATTATTAACGGTGTCATGTAAGGTGTTCGTACCTCTGAAAAAATAGACACTGACACCGACGTTTGTGATTACATACAATTTATCAAATTATTAATGGTGTCGTGTATGGTGTATGTGTCTCTGTGTCTGTGCTTCATGGCTTTGTAGAGATAATGAAATAAAAATGCAGCCATTCGTCTTATATTTAGTGATTTTCTCGTGAACATTGGTATGGAAGTTTGGCATTGTTTTAAAAAAAGAAATGGAAAAATACAGCTAAAAGTATAAATAAGTCTCTCACAAATATGACATTGCACGGATTACTCTTTTTGAAGTGTATGTGCTTCCTTGGATATTTGATCTGAATACTGTATGTATGGGAGTAACAGGTGTATGGATTGGAAAAACTATATTCTGCATTGATGGAAAGACCTAAAGGAAAGCCTCTTCTTACGGTGTGTGCTCATACAGGCTCTTCTTCACTGTGCAAAATGAATCTTTATGGGTTTAGTTTTTTGATGGGGCTTGCCTGCTTTTAATTTTAAATTTTCAGGTCAGCAACCACGTCGCTTCCATGGATGATCCACTTGTTATTGCTTCACTACTTCCTCCACAAGTTCTTTTGGATGCCAGAAACCTCAGATGGACACTTTGTGCAACTGATAGATGTTTTAAAAACCCTGTAACTTCTGCGTTCTTTCGTTCCGTTAAAGTCTTGCCACTTTCCAGGGGTGATGGAATTTATCAGGAGGTATGGATCCAATGAACATTTGTTGATAACTTGGACAATATGTGTTAATATTTGGTGAATGGTTCTAAAACAATCTTATTATCCGAAATGAGGCTTAATAATTTATTATAATGCATAACTTCTGTCAACGACGTGGCTTTTGGAGCAGTGTTGTTAAAACCGGTATATCCCCTCTATACCGCTATTGTGTATCGGAATTTGGGGTAGCCTATACGATATGTCAACTCCGCTATATCAAATAGCGGCACATTTTGATGTATTGGTTACATAGGTACCTAATGAATAGTAGAGTTGTGTGTTTAACTGTTGCGGAACATTTTAAAACATTAAAAAATTACAAAACCTGAAGTGGTGGACAAAATTTTTAAAATATTAAAAAAATTTAAAAGTACAAAACCTTAAGTTGAAGGACAAGCTGAAAATGAGGGTAATGGTTATGTTGGGGATGAGGAGACTAATTAGATCTTTTTATCTTTTATCTAGTTAGAACAATCACTTATGAGTTATTTGAACTATTCAGGTTTTGAGATTTAAGTCACTTTTAATTTCTGTTTTTGGCTTTCTGCAGCAATGTATGCAACTATGCATCATGCTCTATTAGTTGTTTGAAATATTGAGATTTTGAATTTTATGTCGGTTAATTTTGTAATTTATGTTTATGTAGCTTTTATTTGTGTGCGACATGCTTTATTTTATATACAAATATTTATATTTCAACCTCTTTGCTGCCTCCGCTATGCTATCTGCTATTTCTCATATGGTGATCCGCTATTTTCTGCGACCCGCTATTAATAACACTGTTTTGGAGAAAACCTCAAAATCTTATTCTTTAACTTGAATTATTAAATTTATATTGGGGCGCTGCTTTCTGTAGTAGCATCAAACAAAAGCCTGTCTCATTTTGTATCAGTTGAATAATTCCCATAGTCTCTTGCTTTCCACTGACCTATCCAAACTGGATGGAAATCACCTGTTTTTCTATTCTGTTTCTTGTCCCTCTAATGAATGCAGCTCCTCAGCATAGTAAAAAATTGTTAGCGATCCTTCCAATGGAAATTTAACTCGGAAAAATAGAAAATTAATAAATAAGGGAGAATGTAATTTTGAATTGTGAGTAAGGAAGGCAAAAAATTTATTGTACAGATATGAAAAGGGACATATGGTTTCAATTTCAATCCCTCCGAAATGAGTGTAACTTGTCTACATATGTTTTACTTTAATTTCATCTACTTAATCTCTGCTGTAGGGAATGGATATGGCTCTTTCTAAATTGAACAGTGGTGGTTGGGTCCACATATTCCCAGAAGGTAGTCGCTCCCGAGACGGTGGAAAAACCATGGGCTCTTGCAAGAGAGGTGTTGCCAGGTAACAACCAACAACTAACAATCTTCTAAAGTATTCTGAAATAGAATACTAACAGAAAATTTGCCCATTCCATATAATTATGTTGTTGGCTAAAGACATTGTTTGCTCTCTACAAAGGGTTGAAATTTTTCCATTTGTAAATTCAGAATGGCAAAATTTAATAGTTTTTGCCTAATTGTTTGTTCTGGTCCTTTTGTTTGTATTAAATCAAATGAATATTTAAATTACTGATTTCTGAAATTAATCACTAATAGTTTTTCTTATATACTGGCTCTAATGTTATATGTGTATTTGAAACGACAGATGTTAGTATTGTTAAGTTGGGGGTGGTTACTATCATACCTTCGGTCTCCTTGTCACCTCACTTCTTAACTCCCCCAAACCAACCCGCAAGCCACCCTTGTATCCCTTATCTTTTACCATATATTTAAATGCAAACATATCTTATGTTGTTACCCTTAAGCCCTTATCTCCCCTATCTTTACCATATATTTAAATGCAAACATATCTTATGTTGTTACAGTGCTGATAAATTCTGAAAATGAAGTAGATTGTATCTGTATTATCAAAACTTGCTGACAATTTTGTTATTTTCCTAAATAATGTTAGCTCAAGGAGGAAGTTGAATTGAACCAATAACTCAATGAACTTGAACCTGTTCAAAGTTTAGATCTGTAATTGATATGCACAGTTTGTTGGTTTTCTTGTTGAAAGATTTGATTATAGTTTTCGGGCATTTATTTTTTTTGCCTATGTATGATGTTTTCAATTTGGATTCAGTATCATAAAAATTATGGTACCTATTCTTGTGAGAGGAAAATATTAAGACTATATTCGTCTTATTTTACATCACATTTTATTTTAATATTGCGTTGTTGTTAGTATATTGGATTGGATAAGATTGATTATGTATGTATGTATATGTGCTGCAGGCATTTACCAGTACAAAATAACTTAAGATTGATTAATTTCTAAAATATATCTTATTTTTCACTTCTTAATTTTCTTTGTTTCTACTATTCAATGGAACAATACAAATTTCCTAATGTAAATTTCCTCATCAGGTTTATCCTGGATGGAGATAGCATGCCTGTTGTTATCCCGTTTGTACATACAGGGATGCAGGAGATTATGCCAATAGGTGCCAGCATTCCGAGAATTGGAAAAAGGGTACGAACTTTTGACCCACTTAAACAATTCCATTAAAACATAGGGAATCAATGAAATAATCCAGCCTTTGTCAGTCTATGAACCTTCCAAGGTTTAAAATATTGGATGGTGCCATATTGCTAGCTTTTAGTGGAATGCCACTCTCTTTGTCCCTTGGTTTTGGGTCTGCTTTTCAATTCCTCAAAGAACAAAATGTTAACCTTGTTCTGACTGAATTCATATTCTGCATGGTGTTGTTGCTTATATTTATTTATGTGATTAATTTTGATTGTATTTTCAGCTTAAATCTTTTTGTTTTGACATGCTTGGATTGTGTAGGTTACTGTAATCGTAGGTGATCCCATCAATTTTGACGATATAATAAACATGGAGAAAGGCCCTGATGTGCCAAGAAAAAGACTGTATGATGCAGTAGCTGCAAGAATTGGTGATCGGTTGCAGGAATTGAAGGCCCAGGTCGACAGTATAGCTATGGAAACAGAAATGCGTTTAAAAGACCTCTCCCCACACAGCATGGAACGGGCAACTGGAATCTTGCAGCAGGTCGATTGGGAACTATTTGGAATGGATAACTTCATATCTTCTGCTGATGAGGATTCCATGCAGACACCAGAAACAGTTGTCCTCCTAAATTCAAGTGTTTCTCAACAGCATCAGCAGTCTCCGTGTAAGAAAGTCAGTTTCTCATACAGGATGCGTGGTTATATGGATCAGATGGAACTGATGTCTTTTGCTGCCAGAGGATTATTTATGAATAACAATGAAACTAAGGACTCTGCTGGCTTTAGAGAGACACGTCCCTTAAATGCATGGAAACAGTTTTTTGATGCTAATGTATTGAATCAGTGGAACTACAGTCTGTAGATTGTGTAAATTTTGTTAGATAAACAGTTGAACGTTGTGGAGTTGATTAGAATTTGTAAATAAAATAGGTAACTATCAGTTTAGCTGTTTGGTAATGATTACTGAGTGGCAGGCAGTATAGAATCATATGATGGCACTTGGTCCCTAATGCGATGAAACCATGAAAAAGTTGCATTGGTCATTCATTGGCTTGGGAAATAAGTGATATTGTATTTTTAGACTTAATATATTTTTGGTCTCCTTTTATTTTATTTTAGTTACTATGATTATTTCTCTCTCGAATGCATTTTTTAGTCTTGGTTTCTTGAAAAAATCATCAGTCAGATATTTTTTTGAATATTACCTAAATATTACAAAAGTCGAACAACAACTATATATTATAGAGCATAATGTTGACGGTGGAGTTTTGAGCTTAGCGTTGTTTGCCGGCGCAATGGCACATATTGATCACGTACACTCTTTAGATTTGTGTTTTTGTTTCTGGTTTTTTTTTGTCAGATATGATTTGTACTAGTTTTCTTAGATTTTGTTTATAAGATTTAAGTGGAAGGATTTTGAAAGAAATAGAAGGATAAGCTAAAAGAATTGATGGATTTAGGTTGAGAAAGTTTTGGAGGTTAAATTTTAGGGAATTTTTTGTAGCACCTTTGATACTATTAATGTGTCATGTGAAATTTTATATGTTTTTTTTTTTGGGAGATATATTTTTGGACGCATCTAATATAAGTGAACATTAAAATATTTTGGAGATATATCTGTGAAATATTTTGGAGTATAAATTGTGTCAGATTTTTCTCCTTCCTCATTTCACACTTTTCTTCAAACTAACACAACTTTTTTTTTCAATACAACCCATATACCAAATCAAATTTCATTAAACGAAGGTCAAAGGAACTCAAAGAAACATCAAAGATTATTTCTAATATTGGAAACATCTTAATCATCAATTTCAAGTAAGCTTTACGAGTTTTCGGTAAAAGTTCGAGGTTTAGTGTAAACGAGTAGAAATCAATGATTAGGGCTAGAAATGTGTAGAAATCACATGCAACATAGTATAAACTTAATGTATAAATTGATTGGTGGATGAAAATGGCGATGAGAACACTTTTCCTATAATTTTCATGAAGTACATTCTCCATTGACGCGACCTTTGTGTTGCAGAACAATTCGGAGATACATCACCGGAATTGTTCAGCATTTCATATACTTTCAAAAATTTCAGAGATGCATCTCTATAATTGTTCAACATTATAGTTTTATGGTGTTTTCGGATATGCATCTCCTGAATTATTCAACGTTATAGTTTTATGGTGTTTTCGGATATGCATCTCTACAGTATGTTTTTTTTAATAAATTTTTTGCTTGTGTGTGTTGTTTGCGTACACTAATGATATGTCGTACTTTACCATACATGAATAATGGCTGACAGAATTGACAGACTGGGACATGACAAAGTTACTCAGCACGCATCCGTTCGACGGGAGCAGAGCTAACAGGTTCCGGAGGCTCCAGGTACATCTGGTCAGACAGACGTGTCTACTTCTGGGGCAACGTCTGCTTTTGAGGCTCGTGTTTCGCCTCTGACCACTCTACCTTCTTTTCGTAAGAGACGAGATTCACCATCTGACGCGTCACTTCCCACATCCCCCCGCAAGCGTTAGGATTCACCAATGTCACCTTCTGCAGATGATGGTGTTGTTTCAGACCCACCTCCCACTAATAATGTTGTTGATCTAGTGCCACCTTCGAGGGGCGAGGATGCCGAGACAGAGGGTTTAGGATGAGGTCCATATGATTTGTTCTTACTTCCTCTGTATCCATACCACACCGTCAGACATATCTAGAACAAAGAGGTCGCATTAGTTGAATTCTTTATTTTTTATGCGTTAATTTTAATTGCTAACATTGATAATTTCTGACAAATATTAGGAGGCAGAGGAGGTGGAGGAGATGTTGTCAGACACAGACAACAGTAGTTTGTTATTATTTTGTTGTAGTACTATACTCTCTACTTTATTTTTACGGTTTTATTACATTTTAGATCTGGATTGTATGGTATTTTGTACATATATTGTTATTTTATTTTCGACATACTTGATATTAGTCTCTTATTATTTTGTACATTTATTTTTTATTTTGGATCGTACGTCATACTTCATCTAAAAACAAATATACAATTTATAGTGAAAATCACATGTTCTGATATACTTTGAAGAAGTATCTTCAAAATATTACTGGAGATGTATCTTCGAAACATTTCAAATGTAAATGACTTTTAAATGATATATTTTGAATGTTTAAAATGGTTCAGAAGATGTATATCTAAAATATACTAACATTTAAAAAAAAAATAGATGCGTTCAGATATGCATATTTAAAATTTAAAAATATTTAAATAATTTTGCTGAATACCTAAAATCTATCTAGAACGCATTAAATTTTTTTTAAATTTTACTTATGGTATAAGCTTTTGGTTGAAGGACTAAAAAATTGTCAAAAAGAATTTACGACTTAGGTTGAGAAAATTTTGGAAGTTAAAATTTGATGTAATATAAACTTTTGGTTGAAGGATTAAAAAATTGTATTAAAGAATGAGTTTTGAGCGTTTGCATAATTTTTTCCATGGTAATAATGTTGTTATAATTTTTTAAAAATAAAAAATATGTTAATGATAAATATTTATTAATTATTTTACACAGAGTCATTGTTTTTAAAAAAATATTAGATTTATTTTCTTAACCTTCCATCCTCTCTTAACTTGTAAAAAGAATTTTTAGACTCTTATTGTGTAAAAAAGAATTTTAGAGTCTTATTGCGAATTAACTTTTATAGGATTTGGAGTTAAAATTTTTGAAGGATTAAATTTATATTTTGATATATGTTTAAAATCTATAAAAGAAAAGTTAAAAAAGATATTGATATATTAGTATATAATATAGTATATATTTTTTTAACTTTTATGAAAATATTACATATATATTAAGATATAGAAGTAGTCTTTTAAAGCCATTTCTTTCAAAATCTATTAAAAATTAACTAAGTTGGGGCTATAGTTTTATCAGTATTTTTGACAAGGTGTGATTTTTTTTATTAATATTTTTCATGTGCATATATAAAGAATAATTATTTCATGTCGAGAAATTTATAATGAATGATAAATTTCTTCCTCAAGGAATTTAACATAGGGATTGGTCAATGCACTTTTAGTGGTGCTCAAATATTTTGAAAAAAACCCATAACTCTCAAATACATATATGTATTTTTGTTGGATGTACTCAAAAGTCTCCAATATCTTTTCTCGAAAGTGAGGTATTCTCATTTTGTTATAAATTAATACGAAAGTGTATTTTTGTACTAATTGATGGGTGAGTCCATATGCATACCTTTGGACACAATTTGAGTTATATTACCGCGTTATCCAATCCAACAACTTCCACTTTTCACATTTGGTAAAAAAATTTCCACTTCCTTTATTTTTTTTTTGTGATGCATGAATTAATAAGTGAGTTGTTTAAGGTATATTAGGTTGTAGTTACGCTTATAATACGTAACTTATTGAGGCATGCATTGACATTTTTTGATGTTTAGAGCATAAGGCATATTAGGTTTATGCATTTTCTGCAAATTATGAGTTTCACGTGTTACTGAAGTGCAATTAATTTTTTTTCTTTTGAATTTGAGTTTCCCGAGTTAAGAAAGTGTACTTTTGTATTTTTTTCTTCATAGTTTGTTTGATTTTGCATGTCTGTCATCTGAGTTTGAGTTCTTTGATTATGATAGAATTTTTCTTGTTTAATTATATTTAAAATGACTAACAACCAAGATATATTGAGGCACAATATAATGTCCCATCATGCATTTGTTTGCAGGGAGAGAGTTAGACCATCACGACCACTAGTTGATGCTAGTTTATTTGATGCGGAAACGTCATTTCCATGGAATTCATGTGTCTCCGACTTCGTCTTTCTAGAGGCATGTGTAACTTGTTGCTGCCTCAAAAGCCCCAGAAGTCTATTTTGATCAGCCTGCTACTTATGTTGTCGTTCTTGAGGTTTTCAGAGGAGGCCCTTGTGACACTTCACTACTTTCTTTGTGTGCAAACCATGTTGCTATGCACGAGTGAGATGAAAAGGTAAAATAAACATATATTTATTCTTTTAAACATATGTATTAGAATATTTGAACTTTCTAACGATGTTTTTTTTTACAGTACCACGAGACTTTAAAGTGCATCAACCACGGTAGGAAGAATGTGAAGCTGCAACAACCTAAAGAGTAATGGTTTCATGATGTCATGCAACAATTCAAACTGTGAGATTTATGCATGACTGGTTATAATGTTATTAATCACGGTATGTTATTTGCTCTTATGGAAAGATGGCACTCCAATATGTCATTTTTTCTTCTTTTGATTGGTGAGACGTCAACCACACTTGATGATGTGTCATCCATGCTACATCTTCCGGTCAGGGAATGATTATTAAACCATTCCAAAATATCTAGACCTGATGCATACATGATTGTGCAATACTTGGGAGCTGACCAAGGTGATGCCCAAAAGGAGATGGCTGAAACCAAAGAGTGTCATGTAAAATTTTCGATTGGTGGAGCTGGAAAAACTGATTCTGCTGTCGTGGGCGAAAAAACTTGACTGCAGCTTCACGATGGTTGCCACCATGCTGATGGGCCAATCGTCATGACCACGACAATCCTCTCCTTGCTGGTGGGCCAAATGTCACCTGACTCAAGCATTTATTTCTTGTTTTTTGACTTTTTGGTGACAGGTTGACTCCATTTAGTGGTTAATGGCCATTATGACAGTATGGGATCCGTCATGACAGCAAAATACTTGCATTTTCTTCATGTTTTCGGCATTTTTCATCGTTTCATCGTGCGAAAGCCTCCAACTGTTAAGTACTTGAAATAACATATACTACTAGCATAATCATAGCACAACATCAAAAATCAGAACCTACACTCAAAATACACGCATATCGAGT